CCACCAGTATAACCACCAGTCTATACACTGTTGGCATATCTCACCACCAGTATCACCACCAGCATATACACTGTTGGCATATCTCACCACCGTATCACCACCAGTCTATACACTGTTGGCATATCTCACCACCAGTATCACCACCAGCATATACACTGTTGGCATATCTCACCGCCGGTGCTACCAGCAGCCTATACACTGTTGGCATATCTCACCGCCGGTATCACCACCAGCATATACACTGTTGGCATATCTCACCGCCGGTATCACCTATAGACTGTTGGCATATCTCACCGCCGGTATCACCACCACTATACACTGTTGGCATATCTCCACCAGCCGGTATCACCTACTGTTGGCATATCTCACCGCCGGTGCACCATCAGCATATGCACTGTTGGCATATCTCACCGCCGGTATCACCACCAGTCTATATACACTGTTGGCATATCTCACCGCCGGTAACACCTGAGTTATGTTAATAGGCTGACAGTCCCAGTGTGAACATTCTCCACACAGCTTCTCTCTCATGCCTCTTGCCTCCATATCAGAGATATATATTACATATATTACACACATTTACGTTAGGCAACAGCGCCGTGTTATACACACGATAAACACACCGCAAACAAGCGATCACTGTCACGCCATTCATCCCAGAACGTTCATTAACTGAGGTAAACACAGACTGAACCGACGCAAGAATACTGTGGAACCAACACGATACGACATTGTATCGGCAGATTAGGGCTTCAACGAGTCCATTTTCTTGGACTCAAGTACTCGAGGGGTGAGACTCGACTCGGACCCGAGTACTCGAAATTCATATCTTTCAAGCAAACAATAGCGTAACTTGCATGACATGTGTTCCGATCACACAAGTGACTACTTACTTCATTCCGACTTCATGTCGTTATGTGACTAACATTTCCCATTGGTCAGAATCAGTATTTGGATGTTTACTGGACACTTGTTTTTTTTTCATCGTACTTCTTGTACTGCCAGGGGCGGTGGGGTAGCCTAATGGTTCAAGCGTCCGCTCGACACGCTGAAGACCCGGGTTCGATTCCCCACATGGGTGCAATGTGTGAAGCCCATTTCTGGTGTCCCCAGCCGTGATATTGCTGGAATATTGCTAAAAGCGGCGTAAAACCAAACTCAGTCACTCACTCTTGTACTGCCTGCAAAACGCAGTGATATACCGCACAGGCGGCATTTGGTTATTTTTCTCTCTTTTCTCTATCCAGATCAAGACACGCCCATACATTTGATTTTTTTATCTTTCTCCATGTCTATCAATTGTCAAGATAGTTACCTTATCATTTTAAGAAGTGAAATTTCAAACGATGTATAATATTTACTCTCATCTGCAGAGAATTGTAACAACTAATACCATACAGCCACACCTTATGAGGAGTAAACTATATATATTTAATATAGGTCTTAATAAAAACATTATCAGATGGGTACATAGAACTCAGTATGTCAGTGTCAATGGCTATCAATCTTCTTTTCTCTCAACCTCTACTGCAGAACCAAATGGCTGTGTTCCTTCATCCGTACTCTTCGTTTTGTATACTAATGACTGTTACTTGTCAATATATGACGTGCTTACTGTGAAATTCGCAGATGACGCCACTGTTATTGGCCTAATTTCCGATTCTGAACATTATTATTGTCAAGGCATTGACAAAACCGTAATGACAGTTTTTTTTATCAAACCTCTATTCAAAGTGTGTTGACCTACAATTTTCTATGTTGGTATGGGAGTCTGTCTCATTGCAACAAAAACAAGCTTTTCAAAATTGTTAATACTGCTTGCAAAATTTCTGGGGTGTCTTTTAAGTATATTCCCTTTATCTATGAGCGCCAGATTGTCACAAAGGCAACTAAAATTAGATTTGATAGTTGACATATTTGATCTCACCATTTTGAACTACTTCCTTCTGGACGCTGCTGTCGATTACCTTCCCTCAAAACAGAGTTCGACAGTCTTTCATACCATCAAGTATTCGTGAATGCAACAAATATTTTGAATCACCATCACGTGATTACAACTAGAATTATTCAGCCTCTTTACCTATGTGGTTAATTGAATTATATCATGTCAGTTTTATTGTGTAAATAGCATTCGTTTTCTGCATGTAATTATTCTGTATATTTTTGTGAACTGTGTATATTTTCATTTTGAGACAGTTGGATGTATAAGAATTTCCTCCGGGATAATCAAGTTACATCTTATCTTAATATTAGACGTTAACGGCCGCTCATGCTTAGCACATGGCAGACAGTCTGTCAACGTCAATAATTCGAGTTGTCTCCCCTTTTCGAGTCCTCGAGTCCTTGAAAATGGACTCGAGTCCAGCTAAACCCGACTCGTCCTCGAGTACTCGAGTACCCGTGGAAGCCCTACAGATGTATGTGCACTGTTCTTCAGGCACAAATACAATCATACAAAAGTTTACTTGTATGCGAGTAAGTACAGTATACAATCCTAAATCTATTCTTCTCTACAGTGTATAGGTTATTGTGTTGTAAATATTATCAACAGTTTTGACTTCACAATATAACTGCAGATTGCAGTCACAAGCATATTGTGTGTAGACACATCCCAATGAAAGGGATCCCCCTGGACTCGTGTTGAACGCCCTGTCCAATCTCCCACAATAATCACATCCAGTATTATACACACAGACCCTGACATATTGATGTGTGTAAACCAACGTGTGCGAACCTCAGCGTGTGTTCCACATGTTGATCAAGTCTATGACTGTGTGCATATTTTCCTTTCAAGTGGTGTTTGGACGGTGGCAAGTATATGAGGCATGTTAAGCAACCCTATTAAATAGGGCTTATAAATGTCAACAGTCTGGAGTTGAATTTTAAAAAGTTAAAAAAATCGAATATGTTTATGTAAATAATATATTTAACATACACCTGTGAGAAAATACTTGTACGTGTTAAGTATTGTAATCACACATGAAGGAGACCCGCTGTTACACCTGTGTAAGATTTAGGAGATATAACTATATTGTTAAATGAATTACTCGAAGTTTGGAAAAAGCAGGAATGAGAGGAATTTAATACTTGTAAGGTTTGTCGGGGTTGGATTACAACATATATTCGGTCAGCACAATACCAGCAGTCTGGCGTGTTACTGGTGAAGGTGTCTTACCTGTGTCACAGAGTACACACACCGCGGTGTAACTGATATCTTGCTTAAATCGGAGTTCAACTCTCACTCAACATCACCAAGTGTAGTAATGTAATATCAGAGGGTTACATCCTGTACACAATCTACTGAACATGACATTATACAATGATACCAGTTTGTTTATCCCGATAAGCGGGATTTCATTGAGAACAAACCTGTTCGGATAAACGAGGTTTTGCTCTATGCAGTTTTCTAATATTTATGTTATAGGACGTGTATGCTGAAGTTAGGGAATATAAAATATTTTGTTAAAAAAACAATACAAGTGTGTCTTTCTTAAACTTTGGCATTGTATTCAGTCAAGCTTTCATTTGGTTGTTAAGATACCAGGTACATATGACCTATGGTCGTCAAGATACTGGGTATATTAGACCAACGGCCGTCAAGATACCAGGTACACTCGATCAACAGCGGCGTAGAAGGTGTCTTCAACTCTACATACACACAACAGTGGGTTTAGATTTCACGTAAAACAACATTGTGTAACTTATGTGCCACTGTCGAGATAGTGTGCTTAAGGATATAGTAAGAGAGATGTACAGCCAGTTGAGATAATGTGCTAAACAATATAAGTAGAGAGTTGTCCAGCTTGTTGAGATAATGTGCTTAACGATACAGTAAGAGAGATATTCATCCTGTTGAGATAATGTGCTTAACGATATGGTAAGAGAGATATTCATCCTGTTGAGATAATGTGCTTAACGATATGGTAAGAGAGATATTCATCCTGTTGAGATAATGTGCTTAACGATATGGTAAGAGAAATATTCATCCTGTTGAGATAATGTGCTTAACGATACAGTAAGAGAGATATTCATCCTGTTGAGATAATGTGCTTAACGATACAGTAAGAGAGATATTCATCCTGTTGAGATAATGTGCTTAACGATACAGTAAGAGAGATATTCATCCTGTTGAGATAATGTGCTTAACGATATAGTAAGAGAGATATCTATCCTGTTGAGATAATGTGCTTAACGATATAGTAAGAGAGATATCTATCCTGTTGAGATAACGTGCTTAACGATACAATAAGAGAGTTTTCCAGCTTGTTGAGATATTGTGCTTAACGATACAGTAAGAGAGATATCTATCCTGTTGAGATAATGTGCTTAACGATATAGTAAGAGAGATATCTATCCTGTTGAGATAATGTGCCTACCTGTATATTTAGACAGGTAATCAGGGTTATGACAGAAACAAGGGGCGCGGATCAGTTCACAAAGATTGTTTGAGACATGCATGATATGACTGTCACTACCGGTGACAGGCGCACAAGGAACCCAGAGAGGGCTATTCATAGACACACATTGAGAACAGCCAACGGGGGTGAGTTTTTGTTTTTTAATTTAACCGTAATCCAGTTCATCAGTATTCATTGTTTCACACTGTTTGAGTTTTTCAGGGCACCGACAGTCATTAATGTTTGTATAAGACATATGGTATAGAGCATGTAGAGGTTTTCAGCCAGGAAGACCATTCCCCATGCTATTCCCGCCATATATCAGTATAGCCTATTAACCAGCTATATTCCAACATAACCGAGGTCTCCTTTACACACGGATAAAACATGTCTAGATAACAGTCATTGCATGTTTGCTACTTGTTCAATTCATTCTAATGTAAACACACTGTTTACTTCATAAAAAATAAGTTTAGCTGCAGTTTATCTTGAGCGACTGCTGAAAGGCCGAGCGGCGATGCATGACACTTGTTAATATAGACGACGAGCTGGGACTTAAGAGACTATCAGATTAAAGGTAGTATTATAGGCGTCAGGCCTTACCGTTTGTCAAAGAACTGGCAGATGTTGGCGACCTGTCTCCTTGTAAAGTCCGACTGGGTCCACGAAACAGATCAACACTGCGCAAACACACTGCAGTAACGGTAAATACACCTTGGGCGCGACGGTTATGTCATCTGGTATACTCCCTAATTGCCACCCCACTTAAGCCCCTGTGTAGTGGACTGTCCCGGCATTGCGACTGAGCTCATCTCTTTTTGAGATTTTCATGTGAACCACTGGATGAACCCATTGTAGTGATAGGGGTAATAGGTTGTGTTGTGTCGGGGTCCTAACCAGGTGTGCTGCATACAACGTTACACACACCCCTTCACGTGGGCTCGGCAGCTTTATAGGATCTGGTTTCACCATCTACCTGTATAATATGTAATTAATGTATATCTGTGTGTGAACAGAAGCCAGCGACGATAAGGAAACATGTCTTCTAACGCCCTGCATGTTTAGCATGAGAACAATTGCTCGTGTTGATGACATTATCAAGGAGAGGAACGGGATTGGGCCATGTACGTTTCGCCTGATTCCACTACATCAACATGTTTTTCCCGGTAAGAAATGCGTTCCCATGGTAATAGGAAAACAAACTCTCACATATGTCCGGCCTTTATCTGACCAGTAGATGCTGCAGATTCGTCAGATGCTAACCATTTAACATTACACCCACATCCAGACACGCCCTGCAGTCGACGGGAGACACCAGGAGATAACACGTCTACAGACTCAAGGGTCAGGAAGGGAGGGGAAGGGATTGCGGATGGGGTGTGGGGGTGTTTCTTGGTTGGTATTCAGGGTCGGGGGAGGGCAGAGAGGGACGAGGCTTCAAAATACTTCTTGAAGCGAGTAACGACAGTGTCATATTAAAATGGAGAGTTGTGATATAAACCATATTTACGTGATATGGAATATCAGGCAGGACATATAGGAATTTGGCGCGGGATTGTCAGGAACTGTGGAATGACGCATATATTTAGTGAGATACGGATACTGTGTATGGAAACACATCTTATTTGTCAATTCTTGAATGCGCAATAACGGTTATCTTTGAATTTGATGTTATCTCGATGTTGTATATCGTCTGTCACAAATTCGCGTGACATTAATGAACCCGGATGTAAACGAGCTGCTGCTTTGCAGCAAGGCCTATAATACGTTACATTTCAAGAATCAAAGTGAGTAAGGACAGTGAGACTTCCGGGACAGAACCGGAACCGGAAGTACAATCCACATCCCAGTGTGCTGTAGTAAAGGGCATGTTGTTTACACTGGTAAAGGTGTAAAAGTATTTAATCGACTTCTTCTGTTGGTGTTCTTGTATAAAATGCCTTCGTTCAAATCTATATATAACAATGGACGTTTCCAGCGGGGACAACCGCTATTCCAGTGTGAAGACGAGTTCCTGACGAGGTATCGACAATAATGTGTACAAGAGTGACAGGTTTTGAGTCTACAAGCAAGCTCTATCGTGACTAGGATCCGAAATCACTGATACATCAATCCTGGAACTGTATTATGAAGCACATGGAAATCTGTCTGTCTGTCAGTCTGTCTATCTATCTAGGCGCTAAACCGGGGCTCACATATCAAGTCACTGATGTACAAACGACCTCCCGAATACCTCACGTGAGCATTGAGGCCCTACCACATGTTTACTTATTCATCGATCTTTGCTTTCTGTATCTGACCTTTGGTAACTCTCGTTGCAACCTCTCACGTCGCCCAGGTAACGAGTTTAACTGTCAAGAGAACACACTAGGAATCATTTACTCACGACCTGATAACGTGGCTTTGTGATCAACACGTGTTGGAAGAGTGAGTGAGTTATTTGCTGCAGTATCCCAGATATCTCTCCTGTAATGTCATCTGTCTAGTCCTCCCCTGTAATATAAATCTGTTTAGTCCTCCCCTGTAATGCCATCTGTCCTTCCTCCCCTGTAATGTCATCTGTCTATGTCATCTGTCTAGTCCTCCCTGTAATGTCAATCTGTTTAGTCCTCTCCTGTAATGCCATCTGTCTATTCCTCCACCAAACTGTAACCGATGGTGCGATGTAACAACATCTTGCTCCAGAGGAGACACTCAGTACCACGCCCTTGTCGTAAGATCCGCACAAAATCGGATGGTTCATCTCATGGCTTCAAAAAGGCGTGGGTCGCTGGTTATAGTATCAACTATAGTGGACTTAATCTAGACGCGACCCTCGACACGTAACGTATAACAATACCCACACACTGACTGGAGTTAGCGTGTCATTCTGCCCTGATATCCCGACCTCTTGATCATGCTATTACTGAGTGAGTGTATTATTTTCCGTATCAGAACATTTTCCTGTCTTATAAAAATCAGACCTTCAAGTTATCTGCCACAACACAAAGATGTGAGGACATCTCATTGTACAGGTCATGTCATAACGCCCTCACAAACTTGAACCAACCAATGAAATGAGGATGCCGACACTAGCCAATCAGAGAGCACCATTCTCGAGCTTTACGGTCTAGTTTTTAAGATGGTGACTTCCGTTCCAGACTGTGCTTTGAAAACACTGAATGTCTCATAGATTGTCGAGATTTATGAAAATACCTTTTCAAGGACTTTGGAAAGCCTCTTCCATTTCTTTTTATCGATGTCAAGCGTTCGTAATCAGTAGCACCGTCCGTAACTATCTTTCGGAAAGCCTCATGCAAACATGTTCGAGGTTTGCATGATTAGAAAACAATCGTACTTTTACTTTCTGTGAAGTGACAATATGATTGGTTGTTTCTTCTGTCATGACTTACAGTGGAATGTCAACAGATCTTTGTGCAGTGGTAGCGAGCACTAACTGAGACTGAACGTCTTGTAATCTACAAACTGTCACATGAGTGAGTGAGTGAGTGTAGTTTTACGCCGAACTCAGCAATATTCCAGCTATATGGCGGCGGTCTGTAAATAATCGAGTCTGGACCAGACAATCCAGTGATCTGCGCAATTGGGAACCGATGACATGTGTCAACCAAGTCAGCAAGCCCGACCACCCGATCCCGTTAGTCGCCTCTTACGACAAGCATGGATTACTGAAGGTACATTCTAACCCGGACCTTCACGGGTTACTGAAAGTTCATTCTAACCTCGGACCTTCACGGGTAGACAAGCATGGGTTACTGGAGATCAATATTCTAACCCGGACCTTCACGGGTAGACAAGCATGGGTTGCTGAAGATCAATAGTCTAACCCGGACCTTCACAGGTAGACAAGCATGGGTTACTGAAGATCAATAGTCTAACCCGGACCTTCACGGGTAGACAAGCATGGGTTACTGAAGATCAATAGTCTAACCCGGACCTTCACGGGTAGACAAGCATGGGCTACTGAAGATCAATAGTCTAACCCGGACCTTCACGGGTAGACAAGCATGGGTTACTGAAGATCAATATTCTAACCCGGACCTTCACAGGTAGACAAGCCTGGGTTACTGACGATCAATATTCTAACCCGGACCTTCACGGGTAGACAAGCATGGGTTACTGAAGATCAATATTCTAACTAACGGGTAGCCCCATGACCTTATGGAGACAAGGAAGGGTAACCGGCCTGAGTTTCAGCCCTGCTGTCATCAACAACAACTTTGACAAGTGCATGCAGTGTTGTCACACAGTTGAGTAACCCGATCTCTTTACACAGTAACATGGAGGTGTTATAACATCAGTGTGGATGAAAAACAGTTATATAATAAGATACGCCTCCTGAGTACGATCCTGAAACATCTAGATGCACTGAGGACTTAAATACATCTCGGATGGATAACGCAAACGTTGTCAAGAGAAAGGGCAGACGGCCAGTAAGCTATGAAATACACAATGCCATTCATAGCTTGAACACGGGGAACTATGTACTGGCGCAGTAATATGTATTACATGTGGGACTATTTTGTTTCACGTGTTGACAAAAGTGGCAACGGCGGTGAAAGGCTCACGGCTAAAGGATAACACGTCCAATGGTGGTAAAGTGGCTCATAGAGGAACTATTTTGTCACGATGTGTCTAGACGCTGTCCTGGCTTCAAACAGACATTACCTCCTTTCGTCGCCAGTCCTATCCAAATTGTATATTGGCCATCATCTAGCAGCTGTCTGACAATTTCTGGGATCACGTTGCGGGATACATGATAAGGACCAAGACGTCCAGATCAGATTTTCACAAGTAGACGATAAGCTAATTTTTGAAAAAAGGGATACGTGATATTGATAGCAGCTTTTGTATTTCACTATCTCCTATACCTCACGTGTATGGACCGAGAATCGTATTCAGCAGAAAAGTAGCGACCCTTTGAAAGTTCATCTGAAGTCTCATTCAGTGTATTTGTACAATGGAGTTGAGTACCAAGGCAAACAGACATATTACTCCGCCACAAAAAGAGTCCGGTAACTCACGTTACAATATTCGCTGTGTCAATATTGACAGGCATCTGATTGATGGCGACGATGAAAGGATCCCAGTACTCGCCATCATAGATCACGGGGGATGTTAGACATTGTGCCCAGGTACCACCAGCGGGATGTATGCACGAAACCCCCTGAAGAGACGTGTAGCGTTAGGACAGAAGGCTTGTAACCTTTTCAATGACCTACCGACAATAAGTCTGTACGAAGCTAGAAAATCAACAGTGAATCGGCTCAATTATCTCACCTTTAATGTGTGTAAATATGGCGGCATGTTTGGTGAAGTAATTCAGTTCGGGTAAAAAGTGTGCTCTTACAATGAGAGCGACGGAGATGTGGGGGTATGTGACACACGTGAGGAGAGTATCGGGAATGAGAACGTATCCAGTCAGTGAAGTTTCACATGGGTCCGCTCCACTGAAAGTAGATAAACAGCGATGCGACTACGTGATAAATGGTCACCCTCACATTCTCAGTTTAGTTCGTTGTAACCGGAGTTCCTGATACGACTAAAATCTATAGTAAGTGGCAGGGACCAAAAAATAATTCGTTATATCCGTCAGTTCGGTATAACCGGAGTTCCTAATACCACTAAAATCTACAGCAAGTGGCAGGGACCAGAAAATAGTTCGTTATATCCGTCAGTTCGGTATAACCGGAGTTCCTGATACGACTAAAATCTACAGCAAGTGGCAGGGACCACAAAATATACAGTTCGTGTTCGTTATAAGCCTAGTTTGCTGCGTCTACCCCGGTTTGACCATTCTT